GGTCAGATCTGGTATGACCCTGTTAAAACACTCAAGAGTTTGTCAACGACCGGGCGAAAGTTGCTGAATCCCACGAACTGAGGTAGATCGAGCGGCTCTGGTACTAGAAGGATGGCACTAGAAGCTGGCGAAAACTGGACGGTGGTTGGACGCACTGGGAAAGGCCGAAGGGGCTCTCTCGTCTTCAAGTCCTGGATGTAGTATTCGTTCCCTCTCCTCATTCTCTAAGTCGGGCGGTCGGGTACCTATCAAAGGCACTCCGACGCTCAAGTCAGTAATATGACAAAGTGATCTATAATGCATGTATATATTGTATCATAAGCCATCTGTCCAGAAATCATACCTGGAACCTTTATTTATACTGATTGTAATGGACTTTTACCTTTCGTGGGCCTAATAATGGCCCAATCATATCTTAATCTTCATTGAGGGCTTTAATGAGTCATTAGTGTTTAATCGTGTAATCGACCTAGTGAGGGTCGGCCGGGACGGCCGGTCAGAAGGGGTGGTCGGCCAGGGATGTCAACCTGGGTGGGCGGCCACTCGGTTCTGCTGATCGGTCACATTGGACGCTCGATCTTGATGGTCGACCTGGATGGGCGACCTTGGAGGACCGCTCGGTCTATGTGTGATCGGACAGCGTTAGCTTGGACTCTCGGTCTTAATGGCCGATCTGGATGGACGACCTTAGAGGACCGCTCGGTCTATGTATGTTTGGACAGCGTTAGCTTGGACGCTCGGTCATGATGGTGACCTGGATGGACGGCATTATGCCAACCGCTCGGTTTATGAGTCGAGAGGACCGGACCGGACGGTAAAAAAAGTATAAAAAAGTATAGAGATTGCGTGACCGTGTGTGTTGATTAGAACAGATTGTGATGAATAAACAATTTGTGTGGAGCAAGAGTGAAGTACTTTACTCATCCCCGTGTTCAACAGTGGCAAATTATGAGAAGAGATTTGAGTCAAAAAAGAAAAAGAGAGGATGATGACAGTAATAATGGGTAAATTAGGTGGCTAATCAGCAGAAAACAAGTATTGTGTTTGTCTGTGATGAGTGTCGGTGTCAAGAAGTTGGTTGAATTGTTAATTGTTGGGTTTTGTTGTGTGGCTACAACCACCACAAATGTGGCATCTTTCCACTAACAACATAATATTCAATCATGCTCCAACTCAATGCATCTTTCCCTTTTCTTCCCATCATTCACACCCCTTTTGCCTCTCTTGCTAATCCACACCTTCTCACAACCATTTTACTGCTAACTAAATCAAAATTCATGGTATGACTTTCAAAATAAATACTGTGAAGGTCAATGAAGCATACTATGTTTGTGTACGTTTCTACGGAAAGCGTATTTAAAAAATTAAAAACTTACAAAAAAATTATACACCACTTTTACCAGCTATAACAAACACTACCATGATTTTTATATTTTTCAAGCCAAAAGAAAGTAATATGCTAAAGTTTTCGCACTTATTTAGAGGCCTGCTACAGAGTCAGGGAATATAATATCAGTTTGTTTCCATGATTGTGCTAATCTGTCATTCGGCTGAGTGGTCGCTACTTGCATAAGATTTTGACAGAATCAACATCAACCGAAGCTATTTGGTAGGGCTAGTTACCTAGATCCAACGTCATACTTTGTTGTATTGAAAATCAAATTTTCAAAAGAAGCATTATTGACATAAAAAAGAAGCAAAAGAATAAAAAGAACACCCCATTTTAATAATGTAAAAAATGAACTAAACAAGATATCCTCAGTATATAGCAGAACCAAAACGATTAGTGGCTTTGTATTGTTTAGTGATACCTGAATCTTATTGCCAACCACAGCTATTTACACACTGCACTATATATACATGGTGGTGATGAGAGTTGGAAAGGCAAAACAAATGGATTCTACAATCCATGCTTCCAAATTAGGATCAAAATGCCCAACATAGAATTAAGGCTCAGAGGTCCAAACAAGGCGGGCATTATGAACAAACATAATATGCAAGCAAAAAGTATACCCCTCATTTGTGCTAAAGAGCACAGACAGAAAAAGGGAAAACAAAACCCTCCACAAACTCTAGACCATAAAAGGCAAAAGGTTAAAGCTTAAAAAGGTGGCTGAACTCAGATGCGTGAACATCAAAACCCTCAAGAATATTTACACTACACTGTACATGGAACTCTCTTATTGGCATGCTCACTCATTTTGCTTACTGAAAGCAAGGTGTGTCATCTTCAGGCATCAAGGGAGTCCTGCAAAGTGGGCATGTAATGTTCCAGTAGTCCAGCCACTTCTCCAAGCAAGCTTTGTGGAAGAGATGGCCGCACGATAAACGGTTAATCTCAGATTCCGGTTCGAACTGAGTGAGACATACAGAACAGTCATGTTCAGGTCGTTTGCAGCAACACACACTGTCAAACCTGAGTGTTGGTGTCCGGCTTCTGAACTCTTCAATGTAACTCTCAGAGGGACTTAGATGGAATTCAAATGACTCAGGTGGCGCTTGGTAGGGATCTGGTGAAGAGGGTGAAGTGGTCGATGAAGAAAGATGGATTCCAACAATGTGTAGGATTGTCCTAACAATGCCCTTGAATATGGAAATTGACAATACAGTGTTCACCAGAAGGACACATAATACTCCTTCAGATGGTGCTGGGAGACTTGAGAGGCCCATTTTGATCAATGCTCTGAGAGTCCTTTAAGGATACCAAGTTACAGATAAAATTGTGTTCAAAGTTGCAACTGTTGAAGCTCAAAACTGAGCTAAGAAGACACAATGGATTCGTTTGGATCAGGAAGAATCCAAAAACATGGAAATGAGGAACCAAAAAGGAGGAAGAAACACCAAGTATGGAAACTCTTTTGGTTTCTTCTTAATATCTGGCCTGTAAAGCCAATAAAAGAAAGATTAGAACATTAAATACTCAAACAAAATTAAGAGAGGTTCATCAATAAGATAGTGAACGGCCAAAAACAGATGGAAACAAATAAAATGCTAGGCTTAAATCCTAGCTATAATATTTGACTTCGCAAGTTATTCATCTAGAATTAAAATATGCATATGAAAGTGAATGACAAAATAAATTGAAAGAAACACACAACACACAGATAATTGTCTCTTTTCTCAAGGAAAAGTCAAGCTACACAGAAAAAGTGGGTTAAATCCAGCACCCTCACAATCCTGAATTTAAAGAAAAAACTTACAAAAATATGAACAAAAAATTAAAATCCCGAGTAGGATGTAATACGTTGCAAAATTTCCAGATTGAAAATTGAGGATACGAAATTAAATAACAAGCATTCTATTGGCGTCTTCATCATCAACGAGATCTAAGACAAACCAGAAATATTTTGATCAGGGAGAAATATTTTGTATCAAAATCAAGATAAACTTTTCATTAAAAGGTAAAAGGAAAATAAAATTAAGAACTTCACATGTCCCCAGAAAACTACCCCATACCCAACACACGATCTAGCGATTTCGAGCAGAAACGCATAATTCCTAAAAGACCCAGAGAAGAAAATTGAAAACCCAGAAGAAAAAGAACGCATTTCGATGAGACTTACGAAGTGGGGTTTGAAGATTACGGTTCTGGAATGATGGAAAATCCGTAATTTCTTCTCTCTTTGCTTTATAGATAGAAGAAGAACCCCACCATCTCAGGGATTCATTATTGGCAACAGTGCCCAGTGCCTTAACCATGGTTACACGTTACCTCTTTCCTAAGGATGCATCCATTAACCATGGTTAACAATTTCCCTTTTTATAAAGAAAACTCGTTGTTATAATGGGAAAATAGTTAGAAAATGAATAAAAAAATGGGAAAGGGACAAAGAAGTTACAAGAAGCAGTATTTGTGCACTCATAATTTATGTTGGAGAATTAATCATGTTACCAGAGTTGAGGATAAAGTTAACTAATTTTTATTTTTAAACCCTAAACAGCGTTATATGCCATGTTTCCAATTTTGGATTGTTATACTTTATCCTTATTTTCAGCCTCAATTTATGCTTACAGCACCTCAATTTTTTATTCTGTCACATACTGTAATAAATTATAAATACTTTTAAGATAAGTTATTAGATATGGTTTCATTATTAAATATATAATAAGCGTATTCACTTTTAATAGTTATTTTTAAGTTCATACTGTTAGTACACAATTATTAACTCTTTTATTTTCACAAATATATTATTCAGTTCATGCATTAAATATATTCTTTTTGACAAAAAAATTTAATCTTTGATTTATCTAATATTGTAGGAAAGTAATTATATCCTTTAAATCTACCTCCCATTGTAATATAAAAAGTTTATTTTCTACTTTGGTTGTTTCTACTTTTAGGATAATTTTGGCCATATGGTGATGTGGATTTTATTAATATTTTCAGCTTTAAAGTTCCTTTCACAACTTTCATTTTTAAAATTAAGCTTTAGTATTTTTTCTGTAAACAAATATTTCAACTGCTACTTTAATGTTTGTCACTTTTCGTATGCTTGTCATTTTTAACTTAGGACATTGCTTGGAAAAACGCTAATACTTTATGAAAAGGTTAGTGTAAGTATACTCTTTAGGATAAAAATGTTAATAGACAATAATATTTTTTTTCCTATTTTTATTTAACTTTAACTGCTTATTCAAATTATACACTAATACTTTTAAATTATATCAACTTAACTATTTAGATGACTCTTATAATTTAAATATTTTAATTCATATTTAAATTCCATGTAAATTCAACAAAACTATAAATCTAAGCTGAAAAAAGTCAATTCGATTTAAGAAAAAAGTTATTTAACACTTATTTTCATTTCCTTCCCTGTTTTAAAAATATTCCTACAAAAATAATATGAAAAGAAAAAGAAAGTGAAAGAATGGGAACAATTGAAAAAGAAAAAGAAAAAATTCATCGAATTGCTTACATACAATCACAAGGTTCTTCTGTAACAGGGTTCACATTGTTCTTTTCAGCAGTGTCATACAACTGAAGTAAAAACGCCATGTAGTTGAAATGTATCAATGACTCGAATAAAATACAAACAAAACTTTTTATGAATACATTGTACAGCTCCAATGAAGTTTTGTAATCAAAATTATAAATAGCAGCATCCTATTCTATACATAAAAAACCTTCAAATTTAAAATTTGTCATACCTAAGGAACTGTTGGGCCATTACACCTCTAGCTGCACACATGTATATTCTGCACAATACATGGCAAAAAGAGAGGGACAAAATATTACAGCCTACAACAGAGTAGAACATTGTCTAGAATTTATCAAATTGAGCCACTTATCATGCCATCATAGGCACTTGTACATGTGACTTAGGATCAGTGAGGAGTTGACATAAAATATGACAAACTATGAGCAAGATCAAGGCCAAGGACCAAAAGAATTTTGCATTAGATTAGAATGAAGAAGCAGGATTTGCCAAGTTAAACAGAAGGGCAATCAAAATTCATGACACATTGCCTGAAGGCAGTTTGTGATGCTGTCATGTAAGCAGAAATTGCAACTGGGGATGTCCATTGCAGTGAAGGACACAACCTGCTCCTGAGCTTACACTGTCTGTTCATTGAAATAGGGCCTGCTTACAATCTTCTTCTCCTTTCAGAAAATCTATGCCCCTGTGATCAAATCAGACAGTTTGTCACTGCATGGATAAAAATGTATCAATTTCATCCATTTTTTCAGGTAAGAGTTACTGTTTTCTTTACGAGTGTTCCTTTCCTTTTATAGAACATGGTTAAAAGTTGTACACTCAGTAGCTTCTGGTTTGGCTCAAAGGGTCATAGTCATAGACATCACCGGCTTTAACAAATCGGCCCTTCACACGCCTTCTGACATCGGCCCTAGCCTTTCGAGAGGCATACCTTACTTTCTTCTCGAACCTATTAAGATTAACCACAATTGATTTAAACCACCAAAAGAGCAAACAAGCTTTCAAATTTAGAAATAAATCAAATCCAATAAATGAAAAGTAGTTATATTGAAAAGCTAGCAAATAATAAAGCAACTAGTGACAGGAAATTCTTTATTGGCAGATAGATTATGTCAGCAATATCATGCACTAAAGCTTTAGCAATAGAAATCTCTGGCACCTAATTAGTTCATCAATACAACCTTGTCATTCCAGTGAACTGGAAAATGATAGAGCAAAGAGAAGATCGGACAATCGCCTATTGAGAACAAAATGACAAAACTTGGCTAAGGTAGTAGAGACAAGGACAGGTTCATAAAACATCTAGTCAGGCAAAAGTGGACAAACTGATGGTATTAGTGGGATACGTAGCCAGAGATATTCTATAATATATATAAAAAACTGCAATCTAGATATATAGTTTCTTAAAAGCAATTGAGTAGTCACTCTTGCTCCTTCAATCTGTCCCTGTATAAAGGCTCCACCTAATAGGATACGGGTTGGTTGCTGTTATGGTCATAAATTCAGAGTCAAATTGACCCGTGTTGAGACCAGCATAAAGCCCTCTACTTTTATGTCAACCAAGAAACAATAGTAATATGGGGTCAACACCATTGGCTATTCTTCAGAAAATACAGAAAGTATATTTTTTGAGAGCTTTAAAAGGTCTACCTAAGGTAGTTATATTAATATACAGCTTTAAAAGTAGTTACTCAACCTTCCATTCTTACACTCCACCTCAAGCTAGTGCGTATAGTTATATATATAAAGTTTGGAACAAATAAATTCAATCAAAGGTCCTCTCGATGATTTTGTCAACACATTTGCAAGTTGATTATAGCATCCGACAAAACTCAATACCAATTTCCTCGTATAACAACTTTGGTCGAATGAGATGACAATCAATCTCTATGTGTATGGTCCTTGCATGAAACATAGGATTAGAAGTAATGAGAAGAGCTACTTGATCATAACAACACATCTTCATTTGTTGAATTTCACAAAAATCTAATTCTTGGAGGAACTGATTTATCCGCACAAACTCACAAGTGAGAGATGTCATTACCTTGTAGTGAGCTTCAACAGTTGATTGGATAACTACCTTTGTTTCTTGCTTTTCCAAGAATTAATATTTCCTCCAATGAAAACACAATATTCTATAATAGAGCATTTGTCCTTAAAAGAATATGTTCATAAGAGAACCTACCTAATAAGTATCACAATAACCAGAGATTTAGGTATCCCCTTTATCTTTATAAAGAGGACCAAGTTCTGCAGCCTTTTTGAGGTATCTTAAGATAGGAATGACAACATTCCAATGATCAGTACAAGGAGTTTGCATGAACTGACTCACAATAACAACTACAAAAGACAACTTGGTCTAGTAATAGTAAGATAAATAAGTTTTCCAATCAGTCTTCTATATCTTTCTAGATCAGAGATAGCTTCACCATGTTTTGCCATTAATTTTTTTTTGGATTTGTTAAATATATTAGATTATTAAATATCTTATCTTTATCTTTTATTTTTAGTTTTTTATTATTCTTTATTTGTATTTTAGGCTTAATTCATATTTCTTTTATTATAAATATAATATCCTATGTATATATTCAATACATAGGAGATTAATCTCATACACAGTGTTTACTATATTCAACAGGATCCATAAGTCTATCCATTGGTTTACAATCATACTTGTCTCTTTTAGGATATCTTGAGCATACTTCCTTTGAAAAATTACAACACTTTCCTTTGATTGGGCTACATTAGTGCCCAAAATGTATGAGACTTCCAAAATATTTGGTTTGAAAATGATTGCATAAGTGTTCTTTTAGTTTATAAATTCTAGCAGCATCGTTCCCTATAATGTATATCTTCAGCATACATTATTAAGTTCAAATAAAACCAAAAGTAGAGTTACATCTAGACTCAAAATGTCAAGGAAAAGAAGACTTAACATGTTTTCCTAATTGACATAACTCACATTTAAAGCTTAAAGTCTACTAAGTCCAAGAACTCTTTAGTTTTGATAAATGAAGATGACCTAAACATTCATGCAAAAGTTTAGGAGATAGGGATGCAAAACAAAACGCAAATGAACTAGTACGAAAGTAGTATAAGTCTCCATATGTATGTCCTTCGTCAACTAGCCAATTAATACCATGCTTTTGTATAATAAAAGAATTGGCATCAAAGGTAACTGAAAAATTCAATTATTATGAGATTGAAGGACCAAGTAGGAACAAAGAGAACAAGCTTTCTGAAGTTTAAAGAAGGAGAAAGGGAAACTTGACCATTTCCTTGAGAAGCTACTTTAGATTTGTTGATTGGGATTATGAAATGAGGCGTTTAAGGAAAGGAGAGAAGAGAATAATAGGTATAACCAAAAATATGATCAGAAGTACTTCGCCCATTATTCATGGACTTTAACTTTCCAAAAATAGTGAAATGCAATATGTTGACAAATTAGGATTTGTAGATGATTCTACTAGGCTGCTAGATTTCAATTGGAAATATTCACGACATTACTTATCACAAAATATTGGTTCAACAACCTCAAATTTTGAAGGCAATGATTGCTTTGTCAAGGAAGCTAAGGGGAAATGTTAGGTTTCTGATCAAGAAACCTAAAGTAACCCACTCTATCACACCCAGAATATCACACCAGAAAGACTGTATAACTCCTTTATGTATTATCAACAGCCAGAATGCAATGTACAGTGAGCAACTGAGAGCTTAACCTCCCCCACAGGAATAATGGTTTCCTGTTAGAATTCTACAAACAACCGACTAACTCAACAAAACTATTCAATAGCTATTTATACAATTGAATTCCCGCCCTTCAGCAGTTAGGCATTCACAGTCTTATTCCTTCTCTCGTATACCCTCCATCTCCTAACATTACCCTCCACCCCTTTAATAACCTTGTCCTCAAGGTTGAACTCAGGATACTGGTCTGCCATCGTGCTCTTGTCCTCCCAGGTTGCACCTTCTTTCCCCCTTCTTGCCATTCCACCAGGATTTGTTGCACCATCTCTTCACCTTGCTTTACCTGTCTACTTTCCAGAATGCGAATTGGGTGAAAGGTAGGTCCTTTTGCCTGTAACTCTGGTGGTAACTCTTTCTCCACCTGCTGTTCACCTACTGCTTTCTTAAGCTGGGACACATGGAAGACTGGGTGTATCCTAGCTGTTTCCGGCAACCGGAGCTTACATGCAACTTCTCCCACCTTTTGTATTACTTGAAATGGGTCGTAGTAGCGAGCTGCCAATTTTGGGTGAAGTTGCGAGGGCATAGAGGACTGCATGTGGGGTCGAATCTTCAAGTAGACCCAATCCTCCACCTCTATGTCTGCTGGTCGCCTCTTTTTGTTCGCCTGCTGCACCATTAAATCCTGTGCCCGATATAAATGGAATTTCAACTGCTTGATAGCTTCATCTCTCGCTAACAAATGGGCAACTGCTTCGACTGGTGTTTCCCCTGGTATGAACCTACTAAGGGATGGTGGAGCTCTCCCATATACGGTCTCAAAAGGTGTGCATCTGGCTACACTCTGATAACTGGTAGTGTACCAGTATTCAGCTCACGACAGCACTGTACTCCAATTTTTCGGTTGTTCCGAGCAGAAGCAACGCAAGTAGCCTTCCAAAATTCTATTTATCACCTCAGTTTGCCCTTCTGACTTAGGATGATAGGCAGTACTCATCCTGAGTTGGGTTCCCTGCAACCTAAACAATTCTTTCCAGAAGATGCTCAAAAACAAAGGGTCCATCGCTCACAATTGAAACCGGAATGCCGTGCAGCCTTACTACCTCCTTCACAAAAACCTCCGCCACTGTCTTTGCTGAATACGGATGCTTAAGCAGCACAAAGTGACTATACTTACTCAACCTGTCAACAACCACCAAGATTGCATCATAGCCTTGAGATTTTGGCAGCTTAACTATAAAATCCATACTCACTTCTTCCCAAATTGCGTGCGGTATGGGTAGTGACTGCAGTAGTACTTGCAGGGAAGCTGCCAGATATTTATGTTGCTGGCACACCAAGCAGCTAGCCACAAAATCTGTCACCGATTTTTTCATTCCTATCCAGTACAAGGATTGGGCTATCTTCCTATATGTTCTATAAACTCCTGAGTGACCGCCTGTGTTTGTTCAGTGGAACTCAATTAAGAGTCTAGGGATCCATCCTGATTTTGCCGACAACACCAATCTTCCCTTATAATGGAGTCTTCCCTGCTCTAGCGTATACGCTGAATGAGCATCAGGGTCCTTCTGATCCGCAATCACCTTCTTCAGCACCTCATCCTCTTCTACCTCTATCAACACTTCTTTGAAATCCTTCTTTGAAATCCTGCCAATAAGGCCTGGCTATCACCCTCAGCTCCTTTTCCTCCTCTCCCCCTTCACTGCGGCGAGATAGGGCATCTGCTGCCCGGTTAGTTTTTCCAGCCTTATACACAATTTCGAAGTCATATCCCAAGAGCTTTGCCAACCAGTTTTGTTGGTTCTGAGCAGTGATCCTCTGTTCCAGCAGGTACTTCAAACTCCTTTGATCCGTATGCACCATAAATTTCTGCCCCACTAAGTATGGCCTCCAGTGCTGAATCGCTAAAACCAGCGCCATCAACTCCTTTTCATAAATCGATTTGCTTAACGATCCTTCAGCCAATGCCTTGCATAAATAAGCGATGGGTTTCCCTCCTTGTGTTAACACTGCCCCAACACCCCCTCCTGAGGCATCACACTCAATGTGGAAAGGTTGGCCAAAATCAGGGAGCGTTAAAACTGGTGCTGAAGTTATATCTGTCTTCACATTTTCCATGGCCGCCCTAGCCTGCTTGTTCCACCCAAATTGCCCTTTTTTTAACAGTTCTGTTAAGGGCTTGGCCATTTTCCCGTAGTCCCGCACAAAGCGCCTGTAATAACTCGTTAGACCCAAGAATCCTCTCAAGGCCTTCAAAGTTCTTGGCTCTTCCCACTCCATAACCGCCCTTATTTTCTCCTTATCCATCTCAACACCTTTTTCTGAAATCTGGTGGCCCAAATACTGAATTTGCTGCCTCCCGAATTTGCATTTCTTTTTGTTGGCCACCCACCGATGTTGTTCCAATAACTGTAACACCAGTTTCAGTTGCTCCAAGTGATCCTTCCATGTGGAGCTATATGCTAAGATATCGTCAAAGAAGACTAGCACACATTTTCGAAGGTACTGCTGCAGCAACCGATTCATAGCACTTTGGACGGTGGTTAGCGCATTAGTGAGGCCAAATGGCATCACGAGGAACTCAAAATGGCCCTGGTGAGTTCGGAAGGCGGTTTTGGGTACATCTCCTTCTCCCATTCTGATCTGATGATATCCAGCTTTTAAATCTATCTTGGAAAAATATTTAGCTCCCTTTAATTCATCCAATAGCTCTTCTATCACCGGGATGGGGAATTTATCAGAGATGGTTGCTCTGTTCAAAGCCCGGTAATCTACACAAAAACGCCAGCTGCCGTCTTTCTTTTTTACTAAAATAACCGGACTAGAATAAGGGTTCGTGCTTGGTCTAATTATCCCTGCTTTCAGCATATCTGCCACCTGTCTCTCAATCTCTCCCTTCATGAGGTGGGGGTATCTATAGGGGCGCACATTCACGGGATCTGCCCCTTCCTTGAGGGTTATTCGGTGCTCCATATCTCAAGGTGGGGGCAGGCCTGGAGCACTCGAGGGTGTATGTTCAGAACTGCCTCCAACTCTGCCTTCTGCACATCAGTCAAATCAGCTTGCCCTTCACCGTCCACCTCTTTTTCCACTAGGCCCAGATCCCAAACCAACATCCACGTCTCAACATATGTCAGTTTCAATAACGCTTTTGGTTCCACCAGCTGTCTGGATAAACCAGGATCACCTTTTACCTTTACCTTCTCACCCGCCAGGTTATACACCATGGTCATCTCCCTCTAGTTAATCATCACCTCTCCCAACTTAGCTAACCACTCAACGCCCAAGATGATATCCACACCCCCTAGTTCGAACACATAGAATTCCTCCTCCATGTTAGTTTCCTCCAAACTCACCCGAACCTTCTCACCTGAACCTTCTCACAACCTCCTCGTGTTACTTTCTTCTGCCCATCTCCTAGACTCACCGTGTACGGTGGTGTGTCTGCTATGGGTGGCTTCAGTTCCTCCACTAACCTCCGGCTGATGAAGTTGTGGCTTGCGCCACTGTCTATGAGCACTACCACTCCTTTTTCTCCAATCCCGTCACTTTCTGTATATCAAAAAATCGCTCCGCCCTATTGATCCAACTAAGGGGTTACAGCCCTTCGAATGTGGGTAAATCCACCTGTTTCCACCACGGTCTCTGATCTTCCTGGCGGTCGCCGACCACTCTGCCTACAACCTCCTCCTCTTGTCGCCATGGATTCTCGTTCACGAAGCTACCGTCTGATTACCCCTCCGTGTTATTAACCTGCAACCCCAGTATCCTCATTATCTGTTGTAGGTCCCTTCGTACTGCGGCGGACTCCGCCTTCATCCCCTCCATAGTAATCTCAATTGCCTCCAATCGCCCTTCCGTCTCCATTATCGTTTTTATGCCCACTTTGGATTCGGCAAGTCGGACCAAATGTTAGGTTTTTGATCAAGAAACCCACTCTATCACACCCAGAATATCACACCAGAAAGACTGTATAACTCCTCTATGTATTATCAACAGCCAGAATACAATGTACAGTGAGCAACTGAGAGCTTAACCTCCCCCATAGGAATAATGGTTTCCTGTTAGAATTCTACAAACAACTAACTAACTCAACAAAACTATTCAATAGCTACTTATACAATTGAATTCCCGCCCTTCCTAACTGCTAAGGCAGTTAGGCATTCACAGTCTTATTCCTTCTCTCGTATACCCTCCATCTCCTAACAGGAGTAGCAATTTTCTTGAGTATGACCCATTCTTTTATAACACATACATTGATGACGTCCTCTACCACCACTTCCTCATCTAATTCCACAAACCCTCTTCAATGTGCAGATACCATGCCCGAAGATTCAGTGAATTCAAAAAGATTTCTACAGCTAAGAATTGGAACATGATGAAGTCTTATTAAACTTTCCATGGTTAGAATTTCTTGACCAAGTAGAATTTGATCCCTAATATGATCAAAATTTGGGTTCATTGCACAAAGGATCATAACCATATAAAATTTGTCCAACTTCTAATTTCTTAAAGGGAATCAACTTCTAAAAACATCTTTAGTTCAACAATAGATTGACTATTGACAATAAAAGACATCATATCATGATCTATTTGTTTAAGAGATGCTAGCTTGTGGATAGAATCAGAGATGTTGTTCGCAAAGATACCTTGAGCCTTCTTCAAACAGGTTGTGCAAGTTTTGAGGGTTCCCATATTGGGTTCCATTTATTGCACAATAGAGCACCAAGTTGAAAATCCAGCAGAGTTTTCTAATGAGATCTCATCTCCATTCTTTTCCAATTGATCGCGAAACCTTGGCTAAGAAACCCAAGTTCCATAAAGGTTGCCCAAGATAAATAACTTCTTCCCTTAACCTTTCCAAATTTAATGAAAGGAGAGCCTGAAAAACAGTGTTCTGGTCCAGAGTCCATCTTCAAAAGGCACAGAACAAAGGAGGTGCCTAGCAATGACTGAGATAGAACTCGAGAGAGAAGGACAAATTTTCCCTTCAACCAAAGCTAGTGAACACAGACTGTTAGATGCGTCAAACCACACGAAAAGATCACAGAGAGAATCCATCAATGGGAAGGTAGTGTGTGGGTTTCACGCACTTAGGCTATAGGGGAAAGAAGGCAGCACATGGAGGTGCGTGCAGAGGTTTCTGATGATGGGATTGGCAGTTGGCCATCACTCAGGGAGACAATCCTGATGTGGTCATCAAACAAAACTGAACAACCAGCGGTACCGACAGACCCAAACAAGATAAGGATAAGCAAAGCTGAATCAATCTGCTTTGATACTAACTTGAAAAAATAAATAAAAAGAGAAAGTATATTTTTTGAGAACTTTAAAAGGTCTCCCCTTAGATAGCCATATTTATATACAGCAGATCTACGTGACAATGATGAGAAATGGGACAATAAAAAACAAGTAGTCCTAGGTACATATAGGAACCAAAACAGATTGAGTAAAGCTTACTTAGCCTACTCAGAACCTACTTTGAAAACTGCATAAATATAATCAGCACAATTAACTTACTTCCGGGTCTTCTTCTTTTCCTTATAGCGCATTACAGCATTGCTACGGTTGGCAGAATGCAGGGAACTCTCAGGGCAAGGAGGACACCAGGGAGGCTCTCCCATGAGAAGCATTGAAGAAGCATCACATTCTTGATAGTCACCAGCACTATCTTTGGTAACACCAGAAAAAGAAATGTTTGATTGAGATTGCCTTCCCGTAAAACAAACAATTGGTTCAGTTTTTGTACTCAACATTGAATCTGCAGATGCTGCATTGCTGCATGCTGGTTGGATAGCATTGACCAGCCCAGTAGATGATCCCTGGAAAGTAGAAGACAAGTGTAGACATGATATTAAATGTGTAAAATTATTCAACTCACCCCACAAAAGAAACTAAATTTTATGCCTATTGACAGATATAACTTCCACACTACAAGCAAAAGTACTGGAAAGAAAAATCCCATTACTCAAAATACAAGTAAACCTTCACATAAAAAAGGAGATTTAAGGAATTGAAACTCATCCATATATTCTACCCAAAAAAAAAGAAACATGTTTATATTTTTCATTATTTCTGTTACTACTTTTCTTAAAAGTAGAGAGTCAAGGCAATCAATCATGACTAAACCTCAGCACTTTGGATGATCAGTTTATACATACTACAGATGAAGTCGTATAGTTCACAAAAAAATTGATTATAAAGTGAAGATAGCTGGAACCACCATTGAGGAGAGTAGATTGCATGTATTTTTGTCATATGAAAATGGGGTGAGAGAGACCAAGAAGGACTTCGGAGAAAATTATTAAAAGGAATTCTCCCATAGATAATACTCTTTAGTCCTGTATACAAGAAACAAATGAGGACATTTTTTGGTCCTTTTCATTGGAAACACGGGACCATTTTCAGATGTATTAATTTGTTAATTTCTTTTTATACCCTTTATTTCTTGTAAAGTCTATTAATGAGATATGCGTTTCTTTCATATAAAAATGGATCCATTAATTGAGTTAATGGATCATTTCATCATGATATTCATTATCGCCAGTATCATCACAGAGAAATCAAGGCACGGTTTACACAAGTGAACAGGCAGAGTTCAACAACAATAAACATGGTTCAGTTCAGTTATATGAAGAATAATAAAAAAAACAATTTTATTGCAGGAATGGAAGGTGAGATTGTAGTACCTCAGCAGCAACAGCACCGTGACAGTGGGATTCACCAGCACTAGCAGACATGTCTTTTGTCTCAAATAAGCTTTCAATTCCACCATTTTCAAAAAGCTCTTCCGAATGACTGAGAGCCATCCCAAAAAGTTCCTGGTAGTTCTCAAGTTCTAGATCCACTTCATCCATGATGAAATCATCATATAGATTATCATCTTCACATATCCCAGAATTTTTTTTCCCAGGACAATTCAACTGCAGATTCATCATGTGATGATTAATGAAAAAATGAAAGTTGGAAGAATCATATATAATGGCCTTGTAGTTAACATAATAATGCAAGCTACAAGGCTATTGTATATTTGGAAGCACATCTTATGTCATTGCCTTGTACTGTAATCAAGTTGCATTGGTTAAACTGATTAAAAGTCAGTAGTGAAGGGAGAAAATATACTCATACCCAACCCTTGTAGATAAGGTGCTATTATCCATGTAAAGAAATTACAAGGACCATATTCATATTATTTGCATACCAGTCATCATTTTGTTTCCCTTGTCTTCAAAACCCATGAAAGAGGGAAACCCTTGGTAATTTTAAATGTAGAATTGAATAAGAATGTAGGTACAATTCCAACAGTGGCCAAACCAAATTAATGTGTGATATAGACTAGGACATTATAAATTTATTTTCATTTAATATCAGCCTTAAAAACGTTCTATAAACATTTTTCAAAGAGAAAAAAGTATTAGGAAAGGTGAGATTTGTGTGAAACTAAAACCAAAATATAGTTTTGACCAAGAAACAGCATATAGGTATAATCAAAGCTAGTCAGTTTCAAATGCTGTTTCACTCATCTAGAAAATGAATGGCAAATTAATCACAATTTAAAAATGATTTAGCCAAAAAAAAATGCTGATGAAAAACTACTTAGGAATCATTGCCAGATAGTTTAGCTATTTATGTCTTGTCTTCTGCAATAAAATATCTACAATATAATAATTGACAAAAAGAACTAATTCCTAGCAAGCATGTAATTTCATTCACTGATTCATTGTTAGATTGTCCGTCACACCAACAATGGTTATGATTTCCCAATAGATTTTGTCTATGATGCAAAAGATATATTACCGTTCCAATATGGCCATATGAATGTTCTAAAAATATATACGTCTTACATAAGTATCTAGATACGTATAAAAATTCATATTGCAATCCTGAAGATTCAAATTAAGAAAATATTCCTCGATGTTACTAAAAAAAAATTATTGTTATCACAACAGGAATACTACCAATCTCATTTACTTTTTGAAAACATCCACAACGAGGACAATTTCTATTTTTGGTTCATCATGAAACAATGCTTCTATATTTCATATGTAGTTGAATTGGATTTTCATAACTTCGTTTATGGGTTTCGAAACTTCAAGAGTATCGAATACGGATATATGCCGTATCCAATAAATGCAACATATATGTGCATCATAGACAGAAAACTACAGGGAAATCATGAGCATCGATGGACATTCTAACAATGGAACAGTGAATGAAATCTCATGCTTGCAAGGAATGAGTTATTTCTGTCAATTATTATATGGCGTTGCCATAAGTTGAAAAAATCATCCAACAATTTGCTCAAAGAATTCATTTCTTGCAACCTTACAGTTTTGTTCACTCTGCAGTTACTAGAATGTCCATCAAATCCAGTACAGTTGTAAATTTGCGACACAAATGAAAACATGTAAGTATACCTTGGGCATACATTCATTCCCAGGTTCAGGTAGCTGGTCCAGGATACGAGGTTCTGAGTCTGACACGGGTATTGAAGATGTTCCAGCCCAAAATTTACCCTTGGTGGGTAGATCTGTCACTTGAGATGAACCAGACACATTTGTCCCTTCTGGAGGAACCAAATCACTCTTGTTGCCATTCTCATTAATGCTCATCAAACCCAGTTCCTGCTCACATGCTTCACCCATAGAAGGGATATCTAAGAAAAAGGACCATATTGAAGAAAACTCTGCAGCTGAAGGGCAGCCAGAGTAGCAATTGATTGTTTGCCTCTTGTGTGTCGAAGAAGTAGGTGAGCTACCATGAGCCAACCAATCACAGTTCTGACAAAGCGAAATTTTCTCTTCAACACACCTCACGAAAGCAGGTTGTGAATTACATCTCTCACATAGAAGGCTTCTCGAATGACGCCTAGATAGGGCATTAGCAGAATGAACATTTCGATCACACGACAAACATAAGCATGCAGCATCACTGCGACAGTACACCAATGACCTCTGGTCTCCACAAAAATCACATAAATAACCCATCTTTAAACTTTCTCCCTGTTTGTTCCTGAATCTAAATGAAAAATTCTCAGTTGTTAATTATTACATCTACCAAAATCACAACAGAAGACCCTTCTTATCCTACGATGTTGAAATCAAACCGAGCTATATTATAGAACTTACAAGCTGTTGGAAAATTTGATACTGATGAAGGAAACTACAATTCAGTTCTGTAAACTCGGCTGCTGCAAAGAGGTAATAAGTAAGCCTTTTCATAAGAATTTATACCAACTTAGTAATGTGAAGAGAAAGAAAAACGAAGAAAGGATTCTATCCAAACTCTGAACAGTGCAATGGAACTGGGATGAAACAGTATGAAAACATAGAGCCAAGATTAAAAAGTGTAGATTGAAGAGCCAACTCAGAAAAAAAAAGTAAAAAAAAAAATAAGCAAACTGTTTGACAAACGAACTGGTAAAAGTATCTCACAGCAAAGCAATTTCACAACAGCACACAATTCTTTCTAAAGAAAATTGATAAAAGATAAAACTAAATTAAATCATAAATAATTAAAACAAAATTAGTTAATACCAAGAAAGAATTTTCAAAGGACAATACGGGTTTAGATTTAGAAAAAAATAATAAAAAATATATATATGCAACCGGGGTTATCAGGCAAAGGAACCAACCAGAATTTTCTGTTAAAAAAAATTACATTTTTATGAAAAAAAAAAAGAAGTAGTAGTAGAAGGAAATTCAGCAAATAAAAAGTTAACTGGAGTTTCAACCGAATTATGAATAGCAGATCAATTCTCAAAAACAAAAAAGTCAGAAAAATCCCCAAAAACATCATCACATAAACCCACAGAAGAAAACACAAGAGGCGGCAGAAACAGCAAATCAATCAAATCCAATTACCGGTTTATCAAAATTCTCAACTTTTCCTTATATAAAGCTCCCAGAAAAGTCTTCACGCCAGAAAAACACGAACTTTGAAAAGAAAAAAAAAACACAGCACTTTTTCAATAATAAAAAATATAAAAGAAGAGATGTATCTGTAGGAAAGATGGAACAGGGAAGAGGGAGAGATCAGAAGGCAAGAAAATTACCATACGGCAAGAAAGAGAGAGAGAGAGAGAGAGAGAGAGAGAGAGAGAGAGAGGACAAGATCGGTAAGGAAAAGGGGTTTATTGCTTTTTTGAGAAAAAGAATATAAAAATAATATTTTGAAGGAAGAATTGAAAGCAAAGGAACCCTAGAAGTGGAAGCTGGGCTTTTGAAGAGAAGAAGCACAGACCTTTTGTGTGTGATTCTCTCTCCTCTGCTCTGTTCAGATAGATAGGAATAGGTAGATTTTAGATTAGATATGATGGGGAGGGTTGGTGTAGGTGTGAGTGTGAGAAGAGAATAATAATGCAATGGAAGGGTTTGTTTGTGTGATGTGTGTATTGTAGGTAATGTGACATGAGGAATGCAAGGAAAAGTGCTGGTAGATAAAAAGTGCAAAACAAAAGAGTAAAAAACTTGAATTCAATTGCAAGTGGGACCATGTCTCTTTCCCAGTGAAAGCAAAAGCCTCAGTTTTTATTTATTATTATTAGGCCACACACATCCCTTTTTCTTGCTCCTTGGTCCACACAGAAAAAAACACTGTTGCTTTTACCACCGCAGTTGCTGATTCTGCAGAACATGGTAATGCCTCTGTAGTAACAATACAAGGTAAGAACAGTAGTGTTTGTTCATGATACCTTTGGCGCTTGGTGGCATTTTTTATTGTGTTTAATGCTAAAAGAACATTATTAGTTGTCGTACCGAGGATGAACTTTTTGCTAAAAAGTGCGTCACATGTTGGATGAGGTGGACAGATAGAGGTTATTTTGTGACGCTTTTTCACAATCTGCTGCGCTTTTTCTGTTGCCTTTTCACACCTCTCTTTTTAAGCCTTTTCCTGCATTTTTCTTACTTCTTCTCCCTCAGACTCTTTTCACTACTCTCTGCACGTAGATAAAATTATTAAAAAAATCATTACTTTTTGTATAACCAATAAGATTAAAAATTATTTTAAAGTGTGTAATAACTTTTTAAATAATCGCGAATAAGATTTACTATAATATTCAATATAGAAAATAAAGTTCCATAGAGAATCATCGAGTTTTGAGATATGATACTTCCATATATCAATAAAAATAACTTATTTTTTTATTTTCTTAAATTTTCTATTACGGTTTTAATAACAATCTTATTATCCAATCTAAAAGAATAAAAAATGTTAATTATTAAGATTGTTACCAAAAAAACCCATAAACACCTAACAATAAAGGAAAAACTCAAGTTAAATTTTCCGAGTTTTGAGATTATTCACCTAAAACTTACAATTATGGTGTATTAAAGAGGAGATTAACACTTGAGTTCAAAATTTGCCATATATTGGATTTGTGTTTATTTACTCAGTCAACTCATTAATTATTCTTAATTTGTATACTTTTTTTACACATTAATTAATTACAATAAAAAAATGATGATTTAAATAAACATGTTAAGTCTAAGGTTCAATTAGACAAAAATAAATATAATATTGAAAAAATTTATCTTTAAATAGTAATTGTTAACTTTTCTAACATATAACTAAATAACGGAAAAAACAATGGCTAACATAGAACTAAATCGTCTTATTTTCTTAAACATAAACCAAATCAAATTATTTCAACTAGTTGACAAAAAAAAATTAGGTCACCGCATCTTCAATCCAACTGAAAGTTAGTTAATCAATTATTAATCACGGATATAAGTTGGATTGCTTAGGAATAATGTGAGTAAGCTCTGTACGTAAGCTCCACACATACCTTATACTTAACGTAGAGTAACTACATTCAAATAAAAATTAGTTTCACGCTTAAGAAATATATAAAATTAAAAAAAAAAGACACTTTATTGCCCGTAAAGAAAAAGTAAAACACATGAAAGAAAAAAAAGTCAATTCTAATATTTGTGGAGCACAAAAACTTTTTTCAGGGACCTAAAAAAATAATTTAAAAACATAGAACTTAATTAAGTGCGTTTTATACATATGTTTTTAATAAATTGACTTTTCAGACAAATCCTAATTTTTCAACTATAATTTTAAGACAAACTTTTAAGAATGGAAAGATGAATAGCCATAAATAGGAAAAAATAAATTATAATTTTTATTTTGTTATAAAAATATTTTTTGTGGCAATGAGAGATTAATACACTTTAAATGGAATGGGAGTGAATTTTACTCTCTTTACAAGTTCAATTAAGTTTGAATACCTTATCCATTTGAGTTTTTTTAATTGATTTTTTTTACAAAAATAATTTTACTAATTACTCAAAATATTTTTTATTTTTTTTGTAAATATTTTACGGTTTGATTTTGTCGTGGATGACATGACATGATCTTATTTTTGTTTTTCTGTTTTCAACTTATTAATCAACTCGATACTGATGAAATTTCTTTGTGTAGGGGGAACCTTGGTCTCCACAATTTTGTATGTATATAAAAATTAATATATAAATAAAAATATTTTATTTTAATTTGAGTACGTATCTGACGTTCCATAACTTTTGTATACCTATAAACAAATTTGGCATCGTAAAATATTTTATTAAGATCTGCAACTCGTATTTTCCTTTTGTTATTTATTTCAACGCAATCTATTAACTTACTTTTAGAGTAGAAAGAAATGATGCCAATTCGCTTTTCAAATAGTTAATTAGTAAATTGAAAAAACAAAAGAATTACTTAATCTCGTTGACGACGGTCAAATAAAAAAATAATTGAATCAAAATAAAAATTAATATAAATACTCAATACAAATATTTAAATTTATAAAACATTTAAAACTTAATTAAATCAAAAAAAGCATTATATTTACCAAAATCATGATTAAAAAAGCGTAATTTAGAACTATATTTTTTATAAGAAATTTGAACTACATCTATTACGTAGTCAACCTCGTGTTTTTGAGTTAACTTTTGTAAAAGGTTTCATGGGCGAGCACAGGAGCAAAGTCAATCATTAACGTGTTCTGATAGACCTCAGATCACGTTTCTGCTAAGAAAATTAATATCGGATTCAAGAGTATTTATGATGTTTGACTACTTACTCCTCAATTTAATGTTTTGTTTGGCGATGCTTTAAATTTTTTTTAAAATTAAATATATTTTTTTTAAAATAGACCTTGAAATAAAAAAAATAAAAAGAATTTGATAGTTTATTCTCTTTTTTCACTTTTTCTTCAATTTAATATAAATGGTCATTAAAAGTAGGAAAAAGACGCAAGTGATTCCAAGTAGTTCCTACATAATGTTTCATATAAAATTATATTTTGTATCAATAGCACTTTTAGTTTTTATATTCGTATCAATGATTTAATTTATTTATTTTTACTCTTTTATTTTTAAAATAGATTCAAAATGGTTAGATCAACGTTAATTTAGTCGAGAAGATAATGAACTTATATATGTTAATATAATCACTTATTCTTTTTATGTATTTAGTATCCAGTCTAAAAATGCAAAAACGAACTGTACCAGCAGAATCGGGCGTCATACGGGACGGACACCCACGCCATTGAACCACCAAACAGACCGGACGCCCACGTCACCGTATGGGATCCAGGAAACTACCCTTCTACTTACTGTTGGGAAGGGTTGGGCATGGTAGGCCGGACGCCCGTATGTCCATAATCATGCAACCTTACCGCTTGACACTTGGGGAAAAAACAACTCGCCCGAAGTCGGCTGGCCAGGCCGGGGACCCGTCGAGGGCGGCCGGCCAGGCCAGGGACCCGTCGAGGGCGGCCGGTCATGAGGATAAGTCCCGCGAGAACGGCCGCCCGCGTTACTAATCAAC